TGAGGTTGCTTGTAATGGTGGTTGAGCTGTCTTTGTTGAGTGTTGTGAAATTACTTAACCTAAAGTTGTTCAGCTCCTTCTCTGCAGATTTCCAGTGGATAGTTGGAGTTGGTTTACCAGTGGCTGAGCATGAGACTACAACATCTGGATCAGAACTGAGTGCAGGATTCACTGATGCTGTTATTTCTGAAATACCTGAAAAAATATCAGCAACATAATGATTTAATTACATACAATATTTTAATACTACACACACAAAAGTATATGGCACTATAAATGAACATCTTGTTATTTGATTCTTTATTATTAAGTCATTACTAAATACATAGTATTTGCTTACTGAAATATTATTTAAAAAATAAAATGGATAATTTGCTGCAGGTAATCCTTTCATTTTTCTGGAACTGGAAACTGAATTAAAGTTTCAGTTGCATCTTGAGCACATTGTTTGGTCCTGCATTAAGATGCAATTATTATTATTAATTGACACATTAACTTCTGATTCACAACATCCCTTACAAGTTTGGGCATATCTGCATTATCTTAAATGAGCTTGCTTGTTTTTTACTTAGAGAACATATACTGTATACTTTTCTGAACAATTAGAGGAGAATTGAGCTAGTTGTCACTTCTTAGTCCAGTGAATATTTCTCAGGGTAGGTTTACTTTTGAAAGGAAATGTCTTTATTGACACATAACTTGTGACATAACTTGACTAAAAAAACAGCTATTGAACATTTTCACTGTTATTGCCCTGGAAAAAGCTCACTTAACTCACATCAACCTTGTGTTCTCAGTAGTGGGGAATATTGGGGTAAGTTGTCACAATGGGAACCTGCCATTAAATAGCCTATTATACACCAGTAATGGCTTTTCAGCCATTTCAAAACTGCAAAACAATTATGAAGCACAAAATAATTCATAAATCAATTTTAAATCAGTTTTAATATATATATATATATATATATATAGCTTATCTAGGGGAATTTTCCTGTGACACTAGAAGAGCAGGGGGAATTTTACACACTAAAAAGACTATAACTTTTCGTTTTAACCAATGCTAAGTTCACATTCTTTTTTTTTTTTTCAAATATAGAATATTCATTAGGATGTTTGAATTCAAAGATTTAGTTCTTTGCAGCAAAGCAAAGCTACAGTGGCCACAAAAAGTATTTAGACTTTTACAGCATGGTTAGTGTTGCACTGAAAACAGGCACCACAATGGTCTGTGTTTGTTTGGGGCGATCAGGTTTGTTATTGCAAAGAAAACTTTGATTTTAATGAAGGTTATGACAGTGTAAATTGTTCTTTCAGTTTTCTGTGAAAATAAACAGTGAAAATGGAGAAATGCAAGACATGCAATTATAACTATGTTATTTTTTGCATGATAAGATTCTAACAATCACAATTACCATAATATTGTTTGTGTAAAATGTCTTAAATATTATTTTAAAATAATGCAAATGTAATTATACATACACTATCATTCAAATGTTTGAGGTTAGTAAGGTTTTTTTTTTCTTTTATACAGCAATTACTATATAAAAGTATATAATAATTTTATACAGCAAGGATGCATTACATTGATCAAAAGTTACAGTAAAGACTTTTATAATGTTATTTTTATTTCAACTAAATGCTGCTCCTTTGAAATAGTATCTATTCATCATTTTCATCAATCCTGAAAATAACACTTAAGACTGGAGAAATAGCTGCTGAACATTAATCTTTGCCATCACAGGAATAAATTATATTTACAATATCTTAAAATAGAAAACAATTTTAAATTATAATAATATTTCACAATATTACTATTTTAACCGTAAAAATAAAATAAATGGAGCCTTTGGTCAGTATATGACATCTTTCAAAAACATTCGAAAATCCTATCGACCCCAAGCTTATCTAAGTGATATCTGCAAACAAATAATTCAACGAAATGCAACATAAGTGTCCAAAAACTTTTTTGCAGCCAGTATATGTGTTGAAAGAAGCGTTAGCTGTGAACAGTGTTCTCAGGTTCAGTGCCTCCACCAAGACGCACAGCTAATGCTCTCACATATTTGATGTGTTGTTGCACAATTTGTAATTATTTGCACGTTAGTAACACCATGTGTATAGTGAACACCTATCTATCGATCTATCTATTAGTAGGGAATTTCTGACAGAGATATACCGGACTTTCCACAGAAATAAACACTTGCATGTGACTTATTATAACACTTCCGCTTTTTATTTATACATGTAATGTAATGCCACGCCTCTGTCAGATAAGCTCAATATTACAGTGCATATTGTCACTATTGCTATGACTGCGTCATCTATTTACAATGTAAATGAAATCTTTGGATCTTGAATGACTTGCCTCCTAAAGTTTCACAATGATTCCGGTGAAAAGGTGGTTACTATTCCTCAGGAATGCTAACTTAGTAGGAAGAACAAAGCCATACTGTCATTGTGTGTTTGATTGTTTTCTTAACCAGATCAGAGTAATCCAGAAACCAACCGTATTTACCATGCGTTTCATAAGAACACATCACGCATAAGTTACTGTAAATCCCGTGATTCCTCCCGTTTCCTCAGCACATGATAAGCAAATCAGACTTTCAAAATAAAAGCCTTCATGTTTATGAGTAAATCAGCATGATCTGAAAAACTATTGCCATAATGATTTGTATATAGGCTAGTTGTATTTTTCAGTTGATTTGCTGATTAATTTAACGACAACGAAACTGATACTGAATAATTCAGTGAGACTATAAATCCTAAAGTGTACAAACATTCCCAGGGAAAACCTGGGAATGTTTAAACGTTAAACACCTGTAATCCAGTATTTGTGTGTTATGTGTCTCAATCTTTGATATAATATTTCAATATGTGTCTTCTACAAATTAAAATGGTTTAGAAATGTCCCACTTATCCCTAACCTGTGTAAATGAACGTCAAGAACAAAGAGTGCTGTTGCGCCAGGCTTGTAACAATAGAAAACACATTTATTTTACATTTCTATTTATTTTGAATTTTGTGCATGAATTTGTTGTGGTAATTAAAAAAAAAAATTCTACAAACATTGTGTTTGGCCAGTTTTGTGGGTCCAGTAGAAGTACATTGGAAAGTGTTACAAATCTTCCCATCTAGTCAACCATGATAGTTCTTTCTTTCTTTCTTTCTTTTTATTTCAGTTTTGAATAAATGTTATATATCAAACATTTCAATTTTCAGGCATATGTGAAATTACTCACAACACCTCAGAAGAGTGGTATATGATAGGGATTTGACCCTTAATTTCTAATCGGATATCGATGCGATGGCGCCGCAGACGGCAGCCTCAGTGTTTGGCTCTCCAGTGTTTGTACTGTTTTTGTTAGTTTTTCCTGTTTTTTGTTTCTCAAACACGATCAGTTTTACCAGGGATGAGCTGCTGAACATTCGGCAGAACACACCACACAATCTTCTACCGGATTTCGTTTATTGCGTACGTTTTGCTGAATGTTGTAGTCGGCGGAGCTGCTGCGCTGATCCATGTGTATTTTATTCACATCTCATTTTTATTATCTGTGTGTTGTTGTTGTCTCCGTGTACTGGAAGCTTGTGACACTATAACAAATTCCTTGTATGTGCAAACATACTTGGCAATAAAGCTCTTTCTGATTCTGATTCTGATTCTAATTGGTTAAACTGATGTTGTTAATTTAATTAATTTTCTTTAATTTTCTGTTCTGCTCATTTTTGAATTTTGGAGAATTCTAATTGTTCTGTTAAATCTTTGTAAAACGTCTCAGATACCAGTTTGAACTTCCTTCTTAATCGTTATTTATTTTAAGGGTTAAAATAAAGATATAGCCTATGGTTACAATCAAGATTCAAATGATTACCATTCAACTTTGGCTTTGTTTTCCCCCCAGTTAAAGAAATTACATAAGTGTTAAAAAAAAAAATACATAAGTTACTGTTACAGTTTATTTACTGATATTAAAGGGGAACTTCTCTCAAGGAATGAAACAGAAAATACCAATGTATTAGCCTACATCCAAACAAAAACAACAACCAACCACAAGCAATCCACAAACGTGGATTGTTAATTTTTTTAACCATACATAGGTTATTGATCTAGTTGTTTTTTGATGACATGCACTAGAGAAACATTGTTCTTCGTACCAGGCAATATGCAAAATAACTTTTTCATTTACCCATATTCTGAGCTGTGAATTGAATTCAGTGAGCAAAGTGCGAAATTATAATGGTAGGGCTCTGTTTCTATTCACTAAGCTAGGTAAAAAGGTGATCCATCCCCATTCTATATTTGGGGTAATGCAATAGCCTCAAATATAGGCTACCTTATGGTTTTGAATTATAGTAGGCAAAGTATAATAGTAGTTTCACTTTATCTCAAGTGTAAATGCATCAGTTACGTAAACACACAGTGAGTGTCACTGACTGCTAAAATGCGTGGCAATGTAGTATAGTCTAATTAAGTAATTTTTGATTTCTGAATTGCCTAAAATATGTGCAGTATTGCTTTGACCGTTCTGTAGATCCCACCTTCTCGCTCGCCACGATTGGTCGATTATGTACAATGCCTGCAATCATTATAGAAAACACGAAAACAAAAAGAAAAAAAGGCCAAAACTCGGACGTTTTATGCTATTTAGAATTCCCGTTAAAGAAAAAGAGGACGTGCTCACCCTATTTTGTTTTATTCAAATGGGTCAACATTGTATTAGCAATCAAGTATGGTCAACTAAGGAGTAACAATGTTGCTAAATATGGCTAACTAAAGAGAGAGAGAAATTGCATACCATTTTCTTAATAGATTATTTAAAGACCTGAACAAAAGAAAAGCAGTTTCTCCAAATTTATTTTATCCTCACCCTGTTTACCTACCACAAACCAACCCCGGATTTTCTGCAGGCGTCGTTTGGGCCGATAGTGACATCTGCTGGACGGAAACGTTAGTACTTTATGATGAGCGCCAGTGCATGCACTTTAATATTCAAAAAGGCTGTTACCTATTAATAGATCATATGACCACATTTTCCTTGTAGAGAGCCAACGAGCCCATTTTAGAATAGATGTAGGCTGAGAGATTGGTCATTTATTCAATCATTCGTTTCTTGCAATATTTCTCAAGATCAGTCTCACGTTTATCTCCTTGTTTGTGTTTCTGTAGGATCGCTGTCAACCAAGACGTGTTTTTGGTGATGATGACATTGTGATAGGTCGTCTCGGAGGGTGGAGAGAAGCTGCGCACCGAATAACTTCTCATCGACCGCGTGTTTTGGTCACTGCAGTGTGATTGAACATGAGTAGCAGCAGACTTTATTTACGATTGCAATCATGTCGTTTTTATTCCGGTGGTTTGAGAGCGACATATCACCGAACCTTGGACAGGATCGAGTTAATGCTGCCGCCTAAATTAAGACCTCTCTACAATCATCCTGCTGGTAAAGAAATGACTCTGCTCCCACTAGCAGTCGGTCATTGTCAAACATTGCAATATGTTATTCTTATGTTGAAGCGTTTATGTAATTAGGCCTACATATGTGTTGCATCTGAATTCTCTTTTCTAGATCATCCCTATGGTATTTTTCTCAGCCATACTGTGCCCCCAAAAAGAATTTGGACACTTGAGGCACGATTAAATGCAATAGAAATTAAATGCTTTATTTATTTTAAAGAACTGAAGCACAGACACACCTTTCATGCAAACCTTTCACAGTTTAAGTTTGAAGCAATATACAGGCTACTGTTAAAAATTATATGCACACATATGAAAGACTATGAATTTTATGCATCCACTAAACTCACCATAGGACCTAAGTTGTTAATTCTGAGAAAAGCTCTAATATAATTTGTTTGAGGATCATTCCATCTATACAATAACATTCATACATTTTAAATGTTTTATGTGAATATTTTTGGACAATTTGAATCAGCTAGTCTTATGTGCAGCTGTCTGTGTCACTATGTATATTGTTGAAAGATCTCCATCATCAATACCTAGACCTGGTTTTCCACTTTGGTTTGTTCCAAAGATCTTGATGGAAACATTGGTGCTACAGTATGTGCTGTTGAAGCCAAATTTTTATTTACAGTGTAAACATGTTGGACATTGCTTAGCCTACTCCAACACCTCTTGCCACCTCACTTAAAGATTATTTCTTATCATATACTGCATGACATTTGAAGGTCTATCATATCTGTTTCCAAGCTTTTTTCTTCTATAAAGTCTATTCTTAAAGGAGTCATATGATGCGATTTCAATTTTTCCTTTCT